AAAAAAAAAAAAAAACATTGTGGGCTGTAACTCTTTGAACATCAAACTGGTCCAGGAAACATGAGGTGTGCCATATTGTCAAGTCTTAAACATGATTAAGCATTTGCCAACTTTAAAAGGGAAGGACAAAAAATAATAAAGACATGCCTTCTAAAATAACATTAGTTTTGTAATATTGTGCCATAAATTCTCATTGCAAAAGTGAAGAACAAAATTACTTTATAATAATTCCAGAAAGAATTCTGGGAAAAGCAAACTTGGTTATTTGATCATTTAATAATCTGTTTCCACATCATCCATGACAATGAAATATGAACATACCTTTTTTTCAAACAACAAATAAATTTAAAAGAAACACGGAGGAATAATGAAAAATAGTTTATTGCTCTATGGTTCACATTTTACACAGACAAAACATGCTGTTACTCATAAAAGAACAGTCCGTGGATGTCTATTAAATAATCATTTCCAGCCTCTCTTTTAAATCTCTCTGCCGTGTGTCAAAACATCATTTACAAATGGCACAGGCTTAGGATGTCAGATTGAAAATCCAAATGAAGCGCAGTGATCTACAGCTTAAGCCTAATAATCATACATTTTTCCAGACACTGTTTAGGATTCAGCTGCCCCAGATTGCTGTCATTTTTCTTTATTTATTTGTTTATTTATTTATTTGTGTGTGTTTGTTCATTGCAATCTCACAGCAATTAGTAATTCTTTGATTTAGTGGCTAATTTGTATGAGTTCGTATGATATAATTCGTACAATTTAGCAATAGAGTCTGGCTGCAGATTTGCACTTGCACCTCCAGGCTTGCATGCTCGGACTTGCGCGCTCAGGCAACCGCGCTTCCTCTGCAAGTGACGTCATCTACAATCGCCACCTGTGGCCACTTGCATGAAAGTTCTTCCTGAGGGGGAAAAATCTGAGGTAATGGATTTCATTAAGATTGTTGCAACAAACATCTTATCAGTCACCCTTACTCAAGTGCCTTTTTTTCTAAGCGTTTCACTGTGGTTTCTGGAAACATACGGCGCAGTTGCTATAGTTACGTAAACAGATCGTAACGAACCACGAATGCTTGCCTTACAACAGCTCTGCAGTAATGTTACACATCATCTGTGCTGCTTTCTTTCTGTTAGGCGAGTCGAGACGTTCCGTTATCGAGTCGATCTCAACATTATGTTTTGAGGACCTATAACACTGGACTGGGATCATGTAGAGCAGGGGTGACCAACCGTGTTCCTGGAGATCTACCTTTCTGCAGATTTCAGTTGCAACCCATATCAAACACACCTGCCTGTAATTATCAAGTGCTGTTCAGGTCCTAATTAATTGGCTCAGGTGTGTTTGATCAGGGTTGGATCTGAACTTTGCTGGAAGGTAAATCTCCAGGAACAGGATTGAGCACCCCTGATGTAGAGACTCTTAAAGCTGCGCTCCAACTGTGATTTCATATGGATGCACTCCTACGCAGACGTGCTAACTAATCAAGAATAGTTAAAAAGAATAGCCCAAGTTGATCAAGAATCATTGCTGTAAGTCCGTAATGTGTATCTGTTATTTGTAATACCTCCTTGAAATGTTTAAGTAGGCTACTTAGAATTATTTGACAACGTCCTCCCAGGCAACTCAAACGAACTTGAAACTTACTTTTGGTTTATTTGAGTTGATTTGAAGTGACGTGACAGGTGCAGGTGTCGATTGTAAATGACGTAACTTGCATAGGAAGTGTGGGTGCCTGAGCATGCAAGCCAGAGAGTGCACGCCTGAAGGTGGAAGTTTAAGTCTGCAGCCAGACCCTTCTCCAATTTAGTACGACTTGCTCATCACCCAATGGCGATTGGGGTTAGGGGCGGGGTTGGATGCCACGCCTCCTTTTTAAAATCGTACATTTTGTACATTTAAACTCAGACGAATTCGTACTAATTAGCCACTAAACTGACAAAACGTAAAATACTTCCGTTTCCTCATGAGATCAGGCTGGTTTGTTAGCTTTAACAAATGGTTAAAGCAGGATTAAAAGAAGGACCTTCTGAAGAGCAGGCAAAATTTATTAACTCTTTGGTTCAGATTAAATAAGCGTAACTGAGTCCATACCCATGCTTATTCCATCAGTAAATCAATCAACCAGCTTTGTCCATGTCTGATGACTAAAATCTAAAATGCATCACATGCATTATGTCATGAG